TATTATTATTATTATTATTATTATTATTATTAACAGTAAACAAGTAATTACCAACACTCTCTGGATGGACCCCAGCACAGTGCTCAGCACACGGCCATGCAGCCCAGCACAGAGAGCAGCAGCAGCAGCAGCAGCAGCAGGAGTGGAACACGCAGTAACGCAGGGCTGCTGCTGCCGTCATTTCGTGTGATGCCATTCGTTATTGTAGCATTATTGGGTAGAAGAGATGTTTCATTTGTCTGTTCCTGTGGCTGTGGTTCAGGCTCCACCTGTTTTTCTTTCTTCTCTCTGGCAGCAGCAACAACTGCGGCATCGAGTTTCTGCAGGACATCCTTCGCACCATTAACATAAGTTTTCGCAGAGTCGATTTCTTCTCCAGCCTCACGTACCGCGTTTCGTGCATCTTAAATGACATTCAATACCTCCTGAATTTCTTTCGGTACTGGCTGCCTAGGATCTGTTGCGTGTAACTCAACAACAATGGTTTCGTTTTCAGTTTGAGTTGCACTGTCTTTAGTTTTATTGGCCACTGTTCTTGCTTCAGCTGCAGCCTTCGTTGTATTATCAATGAGTTCATTACCTTCAATCTTTCTTTTCTCCACCTCGTCTGGGTCAGCAGCAATTGTTTCGATTTCATTCTCAGTGGTAAAAGCAAATACAAAAGCTTCATCCACAGCCTTTAGAGTAGCCTTGGCGGCTTTCTCGCACTCCGCCTTCTGCTTTAAAACCTCCTTCGCCTTCTCTTGTGCCTACACAATAAGTCTTGAGATACCTGGCGTTGCAGCAGCATGAGCCACACCCACACAGCAGAGCACAATGGCCAACAGACACAACACACGGCACGACAAGATGGACATTCTTGTTGTTAATATCACTGAGGATCACTGCAATCTGTGTCTGTATGTGTAAAGAGAGACAGATAAAGAAAAAGAAAAACAAAACAGCAGTACACCGCTATTACCATACACACACACACATCGAGTCAAGCATGAGTGTAAATGAAGTATACACATTATGGGAAATACCCATTATTCAAACAAAATGAAGTTCCATCCAATCCCATAAGAAAAAAGAAAAGATTAAAAACGAATTGAATATCATTTGGTAACATTGCAGAGATAGCCACACAAACAAAAATAATAATAACGGATAATGCATAAATCTCTATGTGTTGGTTTCTCCCTGTCCCCATTACAATTTGCAGTGTCCACAGAGGAACAAACAAATTATATGTTACCCCATTCACACAGAATGAAAAAGCAAACAAAAAAGAAAAAGAGATATCATTTACCAGAAATACACAATTGCAGAGTGAGACACACCACAAGGAGCACAGCAATACTCTGCTTACAAGTACAAAAAAGAAAAGAGATTAGGTATTTCCACACAAATTAATGCACCCCAGCCCAATGGGTGTCATCAGAATTAATTTTCTTGGTGCCCAGTGTACTGAACACAGTAACAATTATATTATTATTATTACTACTATTGACCGTAAACAAGTAATTTCCCACACTCTCTGGATGGACCCCAGCACAGTGCTCAGCACACGGCCATGCAGCCCAGCACAGAGAGCAGCAGCAGCAGCAGGAGTGGAACACGCAGTAACGCAGGGCTGCTGCTGCCGTCATTTCGTTTGGTGCCATTCGTTATTGTAGCATTCGTGGGCAGAGGAATGGCAGACGTTTCATGAACATCAGGAGCATTAGAAGAAGACTGAGTTTCTTGTGTTTGCTCCGCCTGATTTCCTTCTGTATGGCCTTGCTGCTCATCAAGAGATGTTTCATTTGTCTGTTCCTGTGTCTGAGTCTCCACCTGTTTTTCTTTCTTCTCTTTGGCAGCAACAACTGCGGCTTCGAGGTCCTGCAGGGCATCCTTCACTTTATTAGCATAAGTTTTCGCAGCGTCGATTTCTTCTGCGGCCTCACGTACCGCTTTTTGTGCATCTTCAACTTCTTTCAATACTCCCTTAATTTCTTCCGGTGGTGTTTCAGGATTTGGTACGGATAACAAAACAAGGTTGGCTTTCTCGTCAGTTTCCCTTTCACTATCTGTCGTTTTATTGGCCACATTTTCCGCATCCTCTGCAACCTTCATTACCTTATCAATGAGTTTAAGACCTTTACTCTTCGTTTCCTCCACTTTTGGGGGGTCAGCAGCAATTGTTTCGAGATTAGTCTTAGTTTCATGAGCAAATACATGAGCTTCTTCCCCGGCCTGTCGAGCAGCCTCGCCAGCTTTCACGCACTTTTCTTTTAGTTCCTTGGTCCCTTCCGCCAACTTCTTTGCCTGATCAACAATTTCCATCACATGTGATGGAAGAGAAGCAGCAGCAGCAGCAGCATGAGCCACACCCACACAGCAGAGCACAATGGCTAACAGACACAACACACGGCACGACAACATGGACATTCTTGTTATTAATATCACTGAGGATCACTGAAATCTGAGCATATGTGAGGAGAGAGAGAAGAAAAAGAGAAAGCAAAACAGCAGTACACCGCTATTACTACACACACACATATCGAGTCAAGCATGAGCGTAAACGAAATAGATACACTAGGGGAAATACCCATTATTCAAACATAATAAAGAATCATCCAATCCCCAAGAAAAAAGAAAAGATTAAAAACGAATTGAATATCATTTGGTAACATTGCAGAGATAGCCACACACACACAAAAATAATAATAACGGATAATGTATAAATCTCTCTCTATGTGTTGGTTTATCCCTGTCCAATTTACAATTTGCAGTGTCCCCATAGGAACAAACAAACAAACTGTAACGTTACCTCATTCGAATATAATGTAAAAGCAAATAAAAAAGAAAAGAGATATCATTTACCAGAATCACACAATTGCAGAGTGAGACACACAATGAGGTGCACAGCAATGCTCTGCTTACAAGTATAAAAATGAAAGAGATTAGGTATTTCCACACAAATTGATGTACCCTGGCCCAATGGGTGTCATCGGAATTAATTTTCTTGCTGCCCAGTGTACTAAATACAGTAGCAATTATATTATTATTATTATTATTATTATTATTAACAGTAAACAAGTAATTACCCACACTCTCTGTATGGACCCCACCACAGTGCTCAGCACACGGCCATGCAGCCCAGTACAGAGAGCAGCAGCAGCAGGAGTGGAACACGCAGTAACGCAGGGCTGCTGCTGCCGTCATTTAATGCCATACCACTGTTATTCGCTGCACCATTGAGTAAGGCATCGAGATTATCTCCGTGGATATTAATAGTAACAGTAGAACGGTAGTGCTGTCTTTGTTTCTCTTTTTGTGTTTGCTCCGCCTTATTTCCTTCTGTATGGCCTTGCTGCTCATCAAGAGATGTTTTATTTGTCTGTTCCTGTGTCTGAGACTCCACCTGTTTTTCCTTCTCCTTGGCAGCAGCAACTGCGGCGTCGAGTTCCTTCAGGACCTTCTTCACACCATTAATATGAGTTTTCGCAGTTTCGATAGCACTGGTAGCATCACGTGTCGCGCTTTCTGCATTATCAGCTGCTTGCTCTGCCTCCTCAGCTTTTTCACGAAGAAAAATGGAATTGTCTCGAGTTTCCTTTACACTGGCTGTAGTTTTGTCGCGCACTTCTGTTGCTTTCTCTGCAGCCTTCGTTGTATTATCAATGAATTGAAGACCTTCACTCTTCCTTTTCTCCACCTCTTTTTGATCAGCAGCAATTGTTACGAGATGAATCTCAGTGTTATGAGCAAATCGTTGAGCTGCAAGCGCGGCCTCTGTAACAGCGTTGGTAGCTTCTTCACACTCCCCCTTCAGTCTCAAAGTCTCCTCAACCTTCTTTTTCGCCAACTCAACAGGTGATAACATGCCATGTGAAGCAGCAGGAGCCACACCCACACAGCAGAGCACAATGGCCAATAGACACAACACACGGCACGACAAGATGGACATTCTTGTTATTAATATCACTGAGGATCACTGGAATCTGAGTCTGTATGTGTGTGTGTGTAAAGAGAGAGAGAGAGAGAGAGAGAGAGAGAGAGA